AAATCAGTGCAAACAAAATAAAATTTGAAAGTTAATTTTTAGATGTTTGTCTTCTGCAGATGATCACGTCTGAACGACCCCAGCAACAACCTCACAGTAGCATACCAGGATGGGAACTTTATCTTCACTTCTCTGTCTCTTGCTGTACATTAACACTTCCGTGGCTTATTCACTGCAAAACTGCACTTTAAGTTATCAGGAAACTCCCTTTGGTGATGTTTCTTTGAATTGTGCAAACAGGAATCTTGTGATGGTTCCTGATGACCTCCCAAGAGATGCTGTTTCACTACAACTTCTCAACAATGCAGTTCCAAAAGTTAACAAAAAGGATTTTCGTGGCATGTCAAAGCTTAGAGATCTGGATTTGAGTATCAATTGYATTGCTTTTGTGGACAATGGAGCCTTCATTGATTTGGTTTCATTAAAAACGCTTTTATTGTCAGAAAACAACCTCAACTCCTTGTCTGGTGACATATTTCAGGGTCTGTCCAACCTTACCATGCTGGATCTAAATGAAAACAATATTCAGTTCATTCAGACCTCAGCCCTTCAGTTTCTGATCAGCCTACAAATTCTATATTTAGGAAATAATATGCTCGGAAAAGTTACCGACATCCAACCCATCCTACAGCTGCCACAAATACAGAGGCTTAATCTATTTTACAATCAATTTTATTCCTTTGAGACCAAAGATCTTCTGCCTAATCCTTCTAGTCTTAAAGAGTTGACTGTTTCTGGTCCTACCCTGAACCGGTTCAGCATCACTACACCAATATTTCCTTACCTCAAGACATTAGACTTTTCCCAAACTAGATATCATACAAATATAACATGGGACATACCTGACAGGACCTTACTGAGGAACATCACACATCTGTATCTTTATCAAGCCGTGTTGTCATTTGAAGGGATTCAAACAGTCCTGCAGAGTCTCGACTCACTGATACATCTTAGGCTGAATTACGTGGAAAATTGGATTAAGATGGGATTGCTGTCTACAGTTTGTAACATACCAACTCTAAGGAAGCTGGACTTGTTTTTTAACAATTTTACCAATTTGACTGTGAATCTTACACATTGTTCTGAGTTGAAGGAACTTAATCTTGAAGACACGTACTTACATGAGCTGCCCAAAGGTTCGTTACAACGGATGACAAAACTAAACTCCCTGAATGTGAATAGCAACTGTCTGACCAAAGTTCCACCTGACATAAGGAGCCTCACCTTCCTTCGTTTCTTGACTATGAAAAACAATCTTATCTCTGAGATGACCTGTGAGGATTTTGTCAACACAACACAGCTTACGGAGCTTCACCTGAGCAGTAACCGTATTCTCAAACTAGAAAAGTGTGTGTTTGAAAGCCTTACCAAACTAAAGCTTTTAGATCTGAGTAACAATCTAATACTGACATTCGGAGACACCTTCAAAGTTACACTTCAGAGTTTAGAAGTTTTAGATTTAGGGCACAACTCCATAGTGATTCTAAAAAAAGGGGATTTTAGAGGCTTGCGTTCCCTGAAACAATTAAATGTTGCATCGAATTTTATTGGAAGGGTGATGAAAAAAACATTTCGAGGACTAAACAACTTGGAAGATCTGAGCGTATCCCTTCCGCTCAAATATGAACCTGACTTCAGTGAAATAAAGCACTTACAAAATCTCACAATCTACCTAAATGCTGGTGGCACTCACAAAGACCCTCAGTTAAAC